CGACACATTTGCATTATTATATTATCTTATAGGAAGTAACGGTGCTTACACTGTTTCGGAAGATGTGGACGAAAATACCAATCAAACTAATCTGAATGATATATTTATCGCTCAAATTGAAGTTTGTAAAGCCTTAAAAAATATAGATCCGAATAAGGGTGCTGGACCAGACAATATTAGCCCAGTTTTTCTAAAACGAACCCATAAAACAATCTGTATTCCTCTTAGTATAATTTTTAATAAGAGTTTAACATCCGGGAAATTTCCAAGCGTGTGGAAGTTAGCATATATAACACCCATTCATAAAATAGGATCCAAGAAAGATGTTGAAAACTACCGTCCAATATCTATTCTCTCGTCAATTCCCAAAATATTTGAGAAATTAATTCACCACCATGTGTACATGGCCTGTAAGAATAATATTTTAGAGGAGCAACATGGATTTGTGCATGGCAAATCCACTCTTACAAATCTACTCGTATTTTCAAACTTTCTTTTTGATAGTTTAGACCAAAAAACACAGGTAGAAGCTATTTATACTGATTTTAAAAAGGCATTCGATAAAGTTGACCACATGCTTCTCTTAAAAAAAATTGTCGTTTAACGGTATCAAAGGTAATTTGCTGCGTTGGTTTGCCTCCTACTTACAAAATCGTAATCAATCAGTAGTTGTTAATGGCTTCACTTCATCTAACGTAGTAGTTACATCGGGTGTTCCGCAAGGATCAATTCTTGGGCCTCTGCTTTTGTTCTTTTCATTAATGATATCTCGTCGTGTTTTTAAGTATTGCAAATTTTTATTATATGCTGATGATCTAAAACTATATTCCACTGTTTCGAAAAGAAATGATATAGATTTTATACAAAAGGACTTGGATAGTTTAGATAATTACTGTAAAACTAATAAATTATTTTTGGCTTATAATAAATGCAAACATATTACATTTACTAGAAACAAAACTGTTCTTGCTAATAACTTGCATATTGGATTCTATAAGCTGAGCTCACAATCCAGTATACGGGATCTTGGAATTATATTGGATACAAAACTTACACTTGATCAACACGTTGAACATATATTACGTAAATCGTATCAAATGCTAGGTTTCATAGCTCGCGTAACAAGATCTTTTTAAACGCAAAGATAGTTTTATCTGCCTGTACCAGTCTTTAGTCAGATCTCATTTAGAATATGTGTCTCCTATTTGGAACCCTTATTATGCAGTATATGAAGCTAAAGTCGAAATTATACAAAAAAAAGTTCCTACGTATGCTTAATTATCGTATGCATTGTCCCAGTGATTCCTATAAAAATCTCTTACAAAGATATCATATGCTGTCCTTGACTGATCGACGTTCTCTAATAGACGCTTCCACTCTTAGAAACATCTGTACTGGTGATATCAATTGTCCAGCTTTATTGTCTCAAATAAACTTCCGAATACCGTCAAAAACAACACGTTCGAAAAATTTATTCCATGTATCTGCAACCAGAACCAACATTGGCAAACGCGCGCCACTGAACCGTATGTGCGCCCTCCACAATAAAATGTTAAATAATTTAGATATGTACTCTTGCTCCCGCTTAACCTACAAGAACTCTATTAAAATGCTTCTCTATAATAAATAGTTACCCTCAATTGTAATACTCACGTACTTGTGTTTCAATATATTTTATTATTTTATACCTCCAATTACGCATGATTGTACTTTCTTCTTTCTCTTTCTTGCATTGTTTAAATTTTATTATGTCCTTTGTAATTGCAATAGTTCTGCCGTAAGTGTGCTACCGATAAATAACAAATTTGTTCTCAGTGAGACATTAGTTAAGGGAGCAGCTGTAAATATCCGCATGCTGTATGTTCATTTTTATTTTTTATTTTGTCTTCTGTTCCTGTTTGTCTCCGATACAGTAAATAAATAAATAAATAAATAAAATAATATATTCTAACGACTTTAGTTGTGAAATTAACGCCTGCGCATGGTTGTAATCGAGTTGATGCATTTTATGTAAATTTCATTGTATTTATTCAGTTCGGTCTGTACATTTTGCGTACATGCTAATAAATTTATATACTTGACAACATACAATACTAGAATGGTTACGTTACACTTAGTACCGGTCATCGACGTGCATCAGATGTGCATATTTTATAATAATATTGTAAAAATTCTTTCATTGATACTGTAGTTACTATAAATTTAAAATTAAATGATTATTAAATTAAATAAAGATAATTAAATTAAAAAACTAGAAAAACTGACATAATATTCTTATGACATAATAATCTTACATAATATTTTATATACAGCACAAATTTTTCTATTCTTAACCTGTAGAGTAATCATAATTAATTTTATAGATTATATAAATGTTATCAAATTAAACAGAAAATAATGGAAATTTTGTCCGAAATTGAAATTTTCATGGTTCTTTTTAAAGAGATCTGCCACGGTCTCGCTTAACTTCACCTGTAACTTTTTGCAATCGCTCTGCCACTACTCGTAAGATTGTCATATACAGGGAGATTTTTTGAGAAGTGCCCAAATCTACACAGGAGGTTCAGACTCGGTAGTATAATCGTTTATTGAAATAAAAAACAAAGTTTTTTTTTTTTTAAAAAAAAATGCCATTCTATTCCCTAAAACATAACTGATTGACAATGCGGTAGTCATTCATAAATACCTAAATTTAACTGTGCACGAACTTGTGTGCGTGTTAGTTATGAATGAACGCGCGTAAAATAAATGAGTTGCGTATAAATCACGCACTTTTGAGATAAGTTCAAATATTTATGTTTAGAATTTAATAAAAAAAATGGATACTCTTAGAAAAGCCATCCTGTATAGCACCTGCGTTGAATTGATTTGAAACCAATGACGCGGTGGCGCTATGGTGAAGCGATTCGCTTCAGAGCCGGGAGTCATCGGTTTGATTCCCGAGGGACAAGTATCCGTGTGATGTTGTGCCAACCCCACCTAGGTAGGACAAGAGCAGGAGAAAGGAGTCGAATTGAATCCAGTTCTTTTCCAGCATTAGGTATCGCTTTGAATATTTATTTTGTGTAAGTTTTTTTGATTGACATATCGAATCGACAGTAATTTGAATAAATAAATAAATAAATCTTTCCTTAATATAATCTTTTTGTTAGAAGGTGCAAATACATAAAGGAATGACAGATTTAGCACTTCAAGCGGTATATTATTACAAGTTTCAAAAACTAATATAAAAAGAAAAGAAAATCAAATAAATGTTTCTGTCATGATGACCGTGAATTTAGACTTGAATCCTAATAAACCAGAGTATAAGCGTAGGTAATGATTTTCAATTGTTATTGATAATATGTCAAAAATAATTTGTAACTTGCTTTTTTTTCGTCGTATATAGCACTCACAAAATTTTAGAAATTTTAAATATTGAATTGTAGAAATGGAATGTAGTGAAAAACTAGTTTCGGCGTTTCGATTTTCTCGAATAAGTCACATCGAATAAAGTGACCCTTATTTCGAAAGGATCTTTCATTATTTAGTTCTTTATCATTTATTTAACAATAACTGATTTATGAGTGAAGTGAGTGAGTTAGTATTTTATTCTGTAATCATTTAGGTAAATAAAAGCGGATTTAGACATTTTTAGAAAGACGGATTTTATCATCTGTTCAGATTAAACAGCATACGAACAGCGATTTCGCAGAAAACACGGTTTATGAATAATCTGTTCAAACTCATGCTTGTCTTTGTGTTACTCAAGAACCAATGGAAAAGTAAAAAAAAAATAGATGTACGTACTTCAAAGAAACATTTGCCTGCATATCTGCCTACCCGTTCGATCGCAATAACTTCAAAGCAGAGTTAATATTTATTGTTCTATACTAGTGTATTTAATGGGATATCCATCAATCTTTATTACCAACGCTCGGGAATCAAATATAAGCTAATAGTACAAATAGTTCAATCACAACAGTCGGCGAGGGTTTTATATCGAAGTAGTTTTTTGATAAAAAAAACTATAACCAAAAAAAAAATATGTATTGTTAGGTATAGCTTTTTTATGTTAAATTTTTTATTATGTGAAAACGTGACAAGCGAGCTGGCGGTTCACCTGATGTTAACTGATAACCGCCGACCGTGAAGAATTGCAACACCCGTCGGGTTGCAGATGCGTTGCCTGTTAATAAAGTGGGCCCCGGCTACCTCACTCACCAGACGAAACGCAGAAGTGTAACTTCTACTTCACGCCGGTCTTCTGTGAGGTCGTGGTACTTCCTCGGAATGACCTGCCTATTCGTGCAACAATATAGACTGATGCAGGGCCATACCACGTAATTATGTTCCCGTCTTTTATATGCACTGATTCCTGAGATTCGTAATAATAAAACGCTTGGCTCACTTCTAAGGCGGCGCTTAGTTTACGTAATAAATTTTACGCCTTGCTTTTGGACCGCAACCAATTTAGGCGTCGTATGATCTGTTTTTAATGTAAGTAAGCAACATGTCATAACTCATATTATCACGAACTTGCATATACATGTATATAATTTTTCAACATGGCGTACACACAAAACATCTAGCGTAATTTAATCTCCTGAGGAGGTCACGATTATAGTTTTGTGATTACCAAGTGGCTAAGCTTTGTATATTTTCGAATTTACTGTAGTGGAGATTGCTGCACTATTAGGTATCGGCCTATAATTATGTCCCGTTTTTATGTACCTATGTTATCGTGGCGTCACCAAAGACCACAAAGTAAGTGTTTATCTTCGGTTTTCGTCTGAGGTAGGTCACAGTTTGAAAAATAATCGATCTGTAGTGTTTTAAAGGAAATGCTTTCTCTTTCTTCTCTTAAGATCTAAGAAAAAGTTACGAGCTATAAATTCATTTAGACAATACTATTATCACCATCATTACCAGCTTGCACAGGCTGGTGTTTTTTGGAAAAAGATCTCTCTGAAATTAGCTTTCCATTGCCGATCTGTATTAAAGGGAAGCGTTTGTTCCAGGGTGTGTCTTTCATAGGATGGCATCAGCGCACGAAACTGGAGCGAGTGTTGCTGGTTACGAGCGTCGTGCTTCTATTTGCGACGTTGCTCACCACCTCAATGCTGATGTTCATGCGTGGGCCTTCTTACTTGCCAGTCCCGCCGTGCTACCGCCCGGAGCCCAAAGGTACTAACTTAACGCCCGGTTTCTGAAACACTAATCATCGTAGAAGTCAACTAATCAGCTATCAAATGGCCTTTCAAATTTTATTTAAATTGCCAAAAGGTTTAACTTTTTGAATTGATCAGAATGATCTTCTTAATGATCAGAATGATCAATTCAAAGAGTTTAACTATCCTTTTGGCAAGTTAAATAACATTTGAAAAGCCATTTGACAGCTGATTAGATGACTTCTACGATGAACAGTGTTTCAGAAAACGAGCGTGAGTGTCTTATTTACTTCTCTATTATTTAGATCTTATTTACATCTTAAGATGAACATAGTTTTTTTCCAGTGTCTGGGTGTTTATATATTTATAATATGTATTTACAATAGAAAAGTATGTTTAAGTATGTTAATCAGTTATTTAGTACGCATAGTACAAGCTTTGTCAGCCAGACATCGTTTTCTGACATCGTTTGCTGCCTAAGGACAGAAGTCTGGTCCAAAGCTTTTTTTTTGACTTGATGACAGTTTTATTTTCAAAAAAACTGTAAACTGCCGACGCTTACGTGCATCGTCAGTTTTAAATGTCCACTAAGCAACAAGTCAAAACACCAAAAGCGCAAACATTCATTCCCCTTCTAAAGCACACAATTTTGCGGGATCGTTGCGCGGGGGTCTTAGCAACAGGGGTAGGGCGTTCGTGCGAAGGGCGAAGTGCCCTCGTAAACAACTCAAGGTCAAAGGAGATTTGCAATCCTCTGTAAAGTGGGGTCCATGCGCATAAGCATTAGCGATTTGCAGACACATGTGAATTTTTTTTTCTATTTCCATTTTTCTTTTTATTTAGGCATGGTTAAATATAAGTTTGTGGTTGTGTTCTTCTGTTATTACAAGTAAAAAATATTGACATGTATTAAATTATTATTTAATGAATTAGTATTTATCTTCATTATAGTAATACTTAGAAAAGATTGCCAAGAGAAATATTGCCTGAATTGTAATTTTTGACAGTTATTTTCGATGAATATATTGATGTGAGATCATAACTTAAATGACAAAAGGAGGCAGGAACATTTGTTTGCGATAAACCGATATATCAAAAACATCACATCTACACTATATTGCACATAGGATTCTTACAATAACGGTTTTCCATAATCGTGTTTAAGTCCACTTTTTATTGCAACACTCACACAGTTAGTTGCTATTTTTCCATTGTTCAATTCATATCCTGTTCTTCTTAGCTGTTGCATTTTCTGAATGGGTCAGCAATTCCGAAGAGGCACCAACGCATTCAAAGAACACACGCATAAAGTATATTTATTTGTATAATTCGTCTGGCCAGTAAAGGCCTCCCCATTATCTATTATCTCCTAAAGGGTGGCATACCAATTGCAATCCTAAGGGTGCTGTGCGTGCCAATGGACAGCGGTGCACTATTAAAAAACATAGAAACATACAGTCACACTATTGGAAATCCAACTTGGTTCCACGCATCCTCTATCAAAAAGATTACGCAAACAGTTAAAAGAGAGGGCATGTCCTTACAGAGAACACAGTGAAGTAATAACAAAAACCGGTCAAGAGCGAGTCGAATTCGTACCCCGAGGGTTCCGTGGCTACCCATTATACCGTCATAATAAAATAAGTAAATAACTACCGCTGATTCCGAATACTCATCCGACACACGGACAGACAGACGGACAAGAGATCTTATATGGGTTCCTTTTTTACAGTTTGAGGTAGGGAACCCTAAAAAGTACTAGCTGCTCCGTTAAACAATTTTTCTCAGAAACATTCCTGCTGCAGCTACCGTCTTAAATCCGTTCAAAGTCCTTAGCAAAGACATTTAATCTCTTTCAATGCTGTCCGCCTTGCGGCTCTTGTTTTCAGTCCCATTACCGCGCAAACTGTGCAATTGTCCTCGTTTACGTCTGAGCAATCTCTAATGTATAATCTCGTTAGGTTTATCTCGTTTTGCCGAGTCACTGGAAGGTCGCCCTGAACGAAGCAATTTTATAGAACCTTTACGAAAACATTTGCTTTGATTTTTTTTCCTTTATATTGAATTATACCTGTGCTATGTGTTCACATACAATTCGATAGAAAAAAGATAGGGAAGAGGCCAGGTGTAAAACAGGCGTGGGAGTTAAAACCAGTGTCTTAATTATTAATTTCGACTATAACTTATTTATTAACTTATTATATTCAGTTATAGATATATATTGTCAAACAATTTTAAGTTCTAACGTTTGACTTTGATTGCATAAAATTAAATGTGTAATACGTTGTGTGTATTGTTTCCAAAATATTATATAGTATAACGGACCTCGCTTTGATACCACCAGTTTATTTCTAATTTATCTGCTTATACCACACCATGGTGAAATGCGTATGAATTAAAGTCGACAGAAGATTAATTAGCTCTGAAACTAATATATATTTATTTGAATTTAGAAGCGCAAATGTACTCTAACGCACCCTCAGAGAAAGCAAAGACTATATATAAATTAATGAAATTAGTTTTGAAGCGTACATTGTATATATATATTGATATCTTACCGTAGTTATAGTCCGTTTATATCAGTCCCTGTATTTGATCAAAACCCTCTATAAATAACTTGAACTCGAAATAATTACAAAAAATTCTTAAACTAATCAATTAATGTCACAATATGCATAAACAGATTAATGATAACATAATAATATGAGGGTATATTACATAGGAGACCACCCGGCGGTGGGACATATAGGATTATTTTATCGCTACTTACTATTAGGGGATAGCAGTGTTCCTTCCAGTAGTCATTTTCTTCGCAGAAGAGTCGAGCGTCTGCATGTCCGGTACCTGCATCTACACCGCGAGCGAGGTCTTACAGGCGTTGGATACGAGGCAGAACCCTTGCGATGACTTCTACGAGTTCGCGTGCGGTGGCTGGGTGAGGAACAACCCCATCCCCGAGGGGAAGTCGAGCTGGGGCATCTTCAGCAAGATCGAGCTTCAAAACCAGCTCACGATCAGATACGCCCTGGGTAAGTAGACAGTTGAATATATCCGACAGCCTTGTCCAAAATCACGGTGGTAGGGCCATGCAGCAGCCTCGGCTGTTGCACGAATGAGCAGGCTCGTCCGGGTAAGTACCGTGGCACTATTTCCACTTTACGATCTTTTTTTAGCTGATGTCTATGGGCGGCGGTATTATCTTAACATCAGGTGAACCGTCTGCTCGCTTGGCAACTTTTCACATAAAAAAACCCCACGACGAAGCTAATAGGTTAGCAAGGGCACCTTCTAGTAATGACTAAATTTCCAGAACAATGAATTTTAATGAAAAAAATTTAATGAAAAATTTCTAGACAGAAATGTCTGGAAATTATATGTAATAAATAATATGTTAAAGTGTCGCTAAGTAATTACAATATAAAGGTTTTAAGCTGGAGAAATTATGTAGCCAGCCATTGCATTCCGCTTCTCCATACTATTAAATTTACACTACGGCTTCGTATTAATGCAGATTCTCTACAGTTAATGCTGTTAAAGGCATCGAGAACGTAAACAATACATTTTTTCCGTTTAGCGAAACTAATTATATGCGTGCTGTAAATAAATAGTGGAGCTGTAACTTGCTACTAAACTATTCAAAACTAGCTTTTTAAGATCTTTTCGCCACTGTTTGTTTTCGAAGTTTATTGGATTTAACCTGGTAGAACTTCGCTTTTTTAATGTGATAAAGTGGCAAACGAGCTGGCGGTTCACCTCATTCGTGCAACAGTGAACACTTATACTCTGCTGAATACTCGTATTTCGTCTCTACTTCAATTTTGAATTTTCGATTTCTTTCGAAAAAGACTGTCGCCTCGTAAAAATTCCCTAAAGCCCAACAACAACTCCATTATCATCACTTTCTTTCTTTCTTTCTTTTCTTTTTTTTCTTATCTTTCTTTTATTTTGACTTAAATAATTTTATTAAATCTAGTCTTAAAGTGACAAAAAATTCTTTGTATTTGCCATTATATTATAAGAAACGAATTGCTACTTTAGTAGCATACAATATACAGAACCCAGTTGTACATAGTACAAATAAGTATATTTTAACATGTAATGATCCGTCAACAAACAATGTTAGTTTAAACTAAACATTGAGACAACACCTAGGCCACACAAATTAAATATTGTACATCAGAATATACAAGGCTTGGGTGGCAAAGTACCTGAATTAGAACTGTTCCTTAGAAAATTTAATATTCATGTCATCTGCTTTACAGAGATATGGTTACATAAGAATTATAATATTGTAAATATAGAGAATTATAAAACGTTAAGTTCGTTCGTAAGAGTAAATGCTATACGCGGTGGCTCTGTTGTGTTAGTTAGAAATGATATAGTCTGTAAAAATCGACAGGATATAATGGCACTCTCTGTCGAACGTTCTATAGAATTATCCTGCGTTGAGAGTCAACAGAATATTATAGTATGCGTGTATCGACACAACTCGTATGAACCAACTCGTGTTACTTACTAACTTATCCTCCACATGTATAGATAACGTTTTCTGTCACAATGAAGTATATGATAAATCTATTATAAATTATCTGAGCTCTGATCATCTTGGTTTAAAATTTTCAATAGATGAAAAAATTACTACAAGCGAAATTAAGATCAGGTGTAGACCAGTCACAGCTAGGAGACTAAATTCTTTTAAAGATAAAGTAGCACAGCAGTTATTCCATAAAGATATCGGAGTCAATAACCCTAATGATTGTTATAGATCAATGGTTGATTTTCTCATAACTTCTTATAATCATATTTTTAAACCCCGCACAATTGTTAAAAACTCAAAATTAAAATTTAGTGACTGGGCAACAGTGGGTATATATAAAAGTAGGGATTCACTGTATGAATTATATAATATGAGGCAGTGGAATCATGACCATAAATTCCATAAACGGGTACAAAATTTTTCAATAATATTTAAAAAAGTCTGTATACATGCAAAATCAATCTACATAAGAAATAGAATTTTAAATTCTAGTAATAAAATGAAAGCTATATAGGACATCATTACCTGAATATCTGGAAGACCCAATATATTCAGGGAACCTATAAAGCTAGTGATAGGCAATACACCCATAACTTCAGATAACGAAGTTGCAAGTAGTTTTGAAAGTTATTTCTCAGAAATTGCAATTAACGTTACATGCACGTTAAAATCCTCTCCTATTGATGCAATTAATGTATTAAAAAATAATGTTACTTATTGTCGACAAACGCTTAAATTTAATCACATAGATACTTATGATATTGTAAAAGTTTTGAATTCTATTAATCTTAAAAATACAGGAGATTTGTGGGGCATGTCCATAAAATTTATGAGCACAATAATGCCGTATATTGCACCATATTTGGCATATATTTTTAACAAATGTATATATTCTGGAATATTTCCAGATCTTATGAAATTCAGTAAGATAATCCCTTAATAAGTTTTCAAAAGTGGGGATAAAAATGATCCTGGAAATTACAGACCTATCTCCATATTGCCATCTCTGAGTAAAATATTTGAAAAACTAATTTAAAATCAACTCTTAGTACATTTTAATATGAACAAAATTTTCCACAATGAGCAATATGGATTCACTAAAGGCAGATCGACAACAGATGCGGGTGTCGCACTTGTCAAACATATTTACAACGCCTGGGAAAGGTCACAAGATGCAATAGGTGTCTTTTGTGACCTTTCAAAGGCTTTCGACTGTGTAGACCACGAAACCCTCCTTCAAAAGCTAGATTATTATGGCATTCGTGACATCGTCCTCAATCTCATTGCCTCTTACCTTAGTAATAGAATTCAAAAAGTATCTATAAATAATGTTAATTCCGCAGGGTCCCCCATGAAAATGGGTGTCCCACAAGGATCAATATTGGGTCCATTATTATTCTTAGTTTATATAATGTAAATGATCTCCCCTTTTATGCCAGTGAGTTATGTGATGTTGTACTGTTTGCTGACGACACGTCGCTAATTTTTAAGGCTGTTTTTACAATTAGGAAGGTTAGGCAGCTATCAGACGTCGACACTGCCAGACTTGTTTATTTCAGTTATTTCCACAGCATCTTGTCTTACGGCATTTTGTTGTGGGTTAGTGCATCTGATATAAACTCTATATTTATTCTTCAAAAAAGAGCTGTCCGAGCAATCTATAACATCGGAGCCCGGAATACACTTAGAGACCTTTTTAAAGAGATTAATATACTCACTGTTGCGTCTCAATATATTTATTGTAATATTTTGTATGTTAAACATAATATTAATAATTATCTAAAGAATAGTGACAGACATAAACTAAATATTAGAAATAAGGACAATCTAACTACGCCATTGTTTCGTCTACAAAAAGTAAACAGGTTGTTCATGGGGCAAAGTGTGCGCATGTATAATAAAATCCCACAGTCGATATCAAGTCTGCCACTTGATGAATTTAAGCGAAAAGTTAAAAGTAAACTTATGGCTAAAGCATACTATACTATTGCTGAATATCTTGACGACGCCAATGTGTGGGGTAATACTGTTGATACTCACGTAGGCTAAAACAAGACTATTATACCTGTAGCATTATATTGTAAACTGCCGGTTTCTTCTCAATAGAAATTGCTTTCCGAACCGGTGGTAACTTACGAACATATTAATTAATTTCCTTGTAAAATTTCGACGTTTCATAAGAACGCGCAAGCGTCTATGTGAATAAAGATATTTTATTATTATTGGGGGGATATTCATTTGTTTTCTCGTCTGGTTGGGTTAAATAAAAATAAAAATATAGATATATATTGCATATATAAAATAAATATTATGGATAAATATAAACATATATATATATATAAATATTTTATATAATACATATATAAATAGGACCCAACCAGACGGAAGCCCTCGGCAGGGGAGACCAAACGGCCGAGGGTTAGGGCGAAAGGGAGAGAAACCGGCGGACGATGCGGGCGGTATCGAGGAGCACCGCCTTCTGCATTTGAGCTTGGAGCGATCCGTCCCGGAGTCCCAGTCGCCTCAGATGTTCGGAGAGGCTGACTGGGATCATATCGGGATAATTTCGGCCGGCACACCACCCCACATGTCGGTCACCTCGTGAGCCAGGTCCAGATACTTTGTCTTCTTATCTGTTTCGGCTTTCACGAGGTTTTCGCCATATGGAATGGTAATGTCGACCAAAAATACCCGCGACTGTGCCCGGTCCATTACCACGATATCAGGTTTGTTCGCGACAATCGTCCTGTCCGTGATAATGGTCCGGTCCCAATAGAGCCTGGCGCGGTCATTTTCGAGCACGGCTTCCGGATAGTACTTATAGTACGGCAGTTTTCGATCCACGAGGCCGTATTTCAGAGCGAGCTCCTGGTGTAGGATTCTGGCTACTAGGTTGCAGATACTCAGAGTTAGAAAGCATGGAACAACCGAAGATAACATGCCGAAGCGACTCCCCGGGATGGCGACAAGCTCGACAGATGTCGACGGTCCCATCCTTTAGGATGTATCTCCTATAGTTGTTCGTCTTAATAACCTGATCCTGTATCGCACAGACAAAACCTTCGGTTTCCCCAAAGAGGTCACCGAAACGTAGCGGGGAGGCAACAGTATCTACGAAAGGCTCGTGTAGAGCCTTGTAGAACCTCCCGTGGAGCTCTTTCTCCTTCCATACAGCCTCTCGGTCGGAAACGCTCAGTACTCCCGGGTCCTGCCATTACTCGTTGGCTAAGGATAGAGGGGTCCTTTATCACATTTAATAACGTCCATGGTAGGGGCGCTTAAAAAGCCCCTCCCGCCATGCTTCCGCGGAAGGTACAGCCTCATCACTGACGATCTCGGATGATGCATTCTGTGGGACGTCATAGTTGTGCGGACTTTTCGGTCCAGGGCGTTGAGCTTAGTTTGAGTCCACCTGAGTATGCCAAAGGTATACATGAGGACTGGCATGACCCAGGCGTTAAAAGCACGTGCCTTGTTCACGCCTGACAAATG